TCTGTTTCTCTGGAGAACCCTGAGAAATGAAATTATGCATCTTTTATTTTATTATTTTAAGTTTTATTAAGCAGGTAAGAGGGGCAGAGGGAGAGAGAGGAAGAATTCCAAACAGGCTCCATGCGGAGCATGGAGCCTGATGCAGGGCTCAATCCCATGACCCTGGGATCAAAACCTGATCTGAAATCAAGAACTGGATGCTCAACCAAGTGGGCCACCCAGGAGCCCCAATTATGCATCTTTTAAAAGCAGTTCTTGCTTTTAAAAGCAGTGCTCCTAAGCACTGCTCCTAAGCACTGGTAGAGATAGAAAGACATGCTCCTAAGCACTGATAGAGATAGAATCGTTGGTGACCAAGTAATCATGAATCTGGAACTGCATTATTAACTTGTTCTGTCAGACCCACTAAGTTCTTAAGTCAGGAAAGCTGAACAACAATCCATTATGAGATGGAAATGGCACATCCAAGATCACGTCCAAGCAAGACGTGATGACATGAGCAAGCTGCACATAACCACCATTGCACCAGTGCCCCTTCCTCCACTCATATTTAGGGTCATGTAGGGGTCTCTTATGACTTACAGAAGTAGGAGAAAAAAAGCCCAAGCTGGGTTTTTGTATGGGCAGCCCCAGGTTGAGGATGCAACCCGAAAATGGATGGGAGAGCTAGTAGAATGCCTTATCCACAGGCATGTTTTCCCACCAACACAGCAATTGAGCAGGAGACCCATTTCATAAGGAAGGAGATGCAGGGGTGAACCCATCCAATGGTTTTATCTCATACCACATCAACCAGAAACAAGCTGTCCTTGTGGAAACTGGGAGTGAGTTACTGAGGGCACAGTTGAAATGCCAGCTTGGAGGCCATCCTCTTCGGGATGGGGTCATTTATAAGGATGCCTATATGGCACTGTGTCCCCAAGTAGTAGGAGTAAATGGTTTAGGAATCAAGGGGGTGGTAGTAGAAGTGGCCCCACTTATTATCATTTGTTTTTTTTTTTTAATTTTTTTAACGTTTATTTATTTTTTGAGACAGAGAGAGACAGAGCATGAACAGGGGAGGGGCAGAGAGAGAGGGAGACACAGACTCTGAAACAGGCTCCAGGCTCTGAGCTGTCAGCACAGAGCCCGATGCGGGGCTCGAACTCAGGGACTGTGAGATCATGACCTGAGCCGAAGTCGGATGCTTAACCGACCAAGCCACCCAGGCGCCCCCACTTATTATCATTTGTAATAACCCGCTGGGGACTTTGTTCCTCCCATCTCTGGAACTCTAAGCCCTGCAGAGTTGAAGGTCCTGGTCCATTAGATACAGGAAGGGTCCCACTGAACTGTAAGTCATGGCTGCCATCAGGGCACTTTGGATTCCTTGTGTTCAGAGACCAGCAGGCAATATAAGGAATCTCTAATTTGGCAGGGAAATTGACCTGATTGTCAGAAAAAAATGTGAGGTGTCTTCTTAAAACTGCACAATGGCACTGCTTTTCACTTACAGTAAAAGTTTACCATATCGTACATCATCGAGCCCTCTGCTACCTTTCTGATCTCCCTTTCTTTTTATCTTCCTTTTGCTCACTCTATTGTAGCCAAACTCATCTCCTTGCTGCTTAGAAAACATGCATACTTTCAGGGCTAGGGTTCTTTCATCCAGCTTCATTAGTAGAAGGAGCAAGAAGACCAGCACAAGTACCTCAAAAGGGAGGTGGAGAGTGGGAGAGACACTGAATAAAATGACCTTATTTGTACAGAGTTGGTTGGTGAATTGCATGTTTACCTCTACTGTCTAGTGTAAGCCTCTTCATGTAGGGATTTCTTACCAATATCTTCCACTCACTCTTTGATTGGTGACCAGTAAGAAATTATCCAGTGGCTTGAGACAGGAGGTTGAATCTGGAGAATCTACAAAGTATCCATTTTGGATAATGATTGCTAAAAATAGCAAACTATTTTTTGAGGTACTATGAAATTCCAAGCACTGGGCTAAGCCTTTACATACTTTAACTTAATCTTTTTTTTTTTTTTTTTTTTTTTTTTTTTTTTACATTTTAACGTTTATTCATTTTTGAGAGACAGAGAGATAGAGCATGAACGGGGGAGGGGCGGGAGATAGGGAGACACAGAATCCGAAGCAGGCTCCAGGCTCTGTGCTAACAGCACAGAGCCCGACACGGGGCTCAAACTTACAACCGTGAGATTGTGACCTAGGCCGAAGTCAGACGCTTAACAGAATGAGCCAGGCAGGCGCCTCAACTCACTTAATCTTTATAAAACCTCTAAGAAGAAGATATTGTTATCCCTATTTCACATATAAAGAAATAGAGGCTCAGAAAGGTGAATTGGCTTATGTCCTACCTCTCGCAAGTGGATAGCTTTAAACTCAGCTCTTTCTAAGCCTAGATCTGTATTATTTTCTCAGCAATCTGCTTCCCTTTAAGAGAAAGAGGTCACATTCATTCATTTATCCATTAATTCAATAAATTCACTGAGTGCTTATCACATGCCAGGCTTTGGCCTAATTTTGCCGATAACAGGGGTGAAAATTGGCAGGCTTCTTGCCTTCATGGAGGTCATACCCTAATGGTATAGGAGGATCATGAATCTAAGGTGTTCAGTTTTCAGAAGGGCAGCTGACACAGCATGTGCAGAGACTGAACTTTTGCATAGAGACTGATAACAATTATCTTTGACCTAGACTCTGGAATCTAAATTGTCCATAGTAAATTTATAACCATAGTTAAAACAATGAACTTTTAGCCTCACCAACTGTGAAATGGGTATAATCATAGTAGGCTCCTTGTCAAGTGGTTGTGATCTCAAATAATAAAGTGTGTGAAAGCTCTTGGAAAACTGTGAGATAGTCAACAAGGGGGAAAGGACTATCCTATATTCTATTTTTAAAGTTTATTTATTTATTGGGGGGGGGCAGAAAGTGAGAGGGAGAGAGAGAACCCCAAGCAGGCTTCATGCTCAGCACTGAGCCCAAAGCAGGGCTCTATCTCACAGCCATGAGATCATGACCGGAGCTGAAATCCAGAGTTGGTCGCCCAACTGACTGAGCCACCCAGGAGCCCCTATATTCTTTAATAAAAAACAAACCAACAAAATCCAAATGTAAACTAGATAGTGATATAACAAACACCTAGATACCCATAAACAAAAAGCTTCAACAAATATCAACTCAAGGCCAATTCTGTTTCAATTCTAGTCACCACCTTCCTCCCATCACCCATTTTTTGGGAAGGAAATCCTTGACAGCATATCTCCTTATCTATATATAGATTCCACCACATAAATTTCAAAGGAAGGGATTCTTTTAAAAAACATAACCACAAATACTATTACCAATCTTAAAAATCTACACGCAAAATTGATATTAATTCCTTAATTTTATTGAATATGGTAGTTTGATTCAGGGTCATATTTCCCTGATTATCTCAAAAATGTTTAGATCTCAAAAGAATGTTTGAATCAATATTTAAATAAGATGCAGGGGCGCCTGGGTGGCTCAGTCGGTTGGGCGGCCAACTTCGGCTCAGGTCATGCTCTCATGGTTCATGGGTTCGAGCCCCGTGTCAGGCTCTGTGCTGACAGCTCGGAGCCTGGAGCCTGCTTCAGAATCATGACTCCCCCCACCTCTCTGTCCCCTTCCCAGCTCATGCTCTGTCTCTGTCTCTCAAAAAATAAATAAACGTTAAAATTTTTTTTAAAAATAAGATGCATATATTACAGTTGGTTGAGGTATCATTTTATTCTTTCTACCTCTTTTTCTTTTGATTTTTTTTTCCTGAGGAAACTGGGTCCTGTAAAACAGTAGCTCTTGAACTTTAGTGTGTATTAGTGTGCATCAGTATGCATCAGAATCATCTAGAAAACATGTTAAAACACGGGTTGCTGGGGGTGCCTGGGTGGCTCATTCATTTAAGCATCTGACTCTCGATTTCACCTCAGGTCATGATCTCACAAGCCCCACATTGGGCTCTGTGCTGACAGTGAAGAGCCTGCTTGGGAGTCTCCCCCCCTCCCCCCCAAATGCTTGCAGGCTCTCTCTCTCTCAAAAATAAATAAATATTAAAAACAACAACAACAACAACAAACCACAGGTTGCTGCATCCTGTCTCCACAGATTCTGACTGAATACTACATTTCTAACGTGTCCCCGGATGATGCTGACGCTGGCTGGTCTGAGACTTTTCAAGAGCTACTGTTGTACCTATCCCAGTGTACCTAGGATTTCTCTAATTATACCCTCAGTGAAGTGTTTCAATACGCTCATCTTCCCCTTATTTCTTATTAAGGGAAGTTTCTTTAATTGCCTACAGTACAGCATAATGACTAAACTCAGGTTTTAAGTTAGATTGGGCTTAAAACTTGTTTTTTGACACTTAATTTGCTATGTGACCTTGGGCAAGTAATTTAATTGCTCTGTGAACCCAGTATTACAGGATCCTCGGGGCACCTGGGGCTCAGTTGGTTGAGCCTCTGACTTTGGCTCTGGTCATGAACTCACGGCTTGTGAGTTGAGCCCTGCGTCGGGCTCTGTGCTGGCAGCTCAGAGCCTAGAACCTGCTTCAGATTCTGTCTCCCTCTCTCTCTCTCTCTCTCTCTCTCTCTCTCTGCCCCTCTCCCGCTTGTGGTCTCTCTCTTTCTTTCTCTCTCTCAAAAATAAACGTTAAAAAATTTAAAAAATATTATAGGGTCCCTGTGAGGATTAATGAGATTTCAAAAAGTTAAGTACTTACTTAGCATACTGCCTGGCATTTAGCAAATGCTCAACAAATTTGATTATCATTTTTCAACCAAGAAATAATGATGAGGCTCAGAGTCGCTGTAAGGCCTTGAGTTTTGTAGGGTTTTGCGTTGCAGGGTTAGCGGAGCCTACCAGAGGCGCTCCATAGGAATGGTACCCAGAGAAAGTTGGAGAGACAGCAAGGCTACCTCAAAAATCAACTCAGGGTTGGCTCCTTTAAGGAGGGCGCAGTCACGTGACCCACCTGGTCACATGGCTTGCGGGACAACATGGCTGCGCCCTCACTAGGGCTGGCTGGTGGATCCTGCGCCCGGCTCGGTCTCGTCCTCTTGCTGCCACTGTTCTTGCTGCCGGGCGAGGCGGCTGGGGGCGAAGAGGCCAGGACTGGCGCGGGCGCGGGCGCGGCTTCCCTGGCGGGCTCATGCGGCTGTGGCACTCCCCAGCGGCGCGGGGACCATGGCAGCTCGGCGGCCGCGCACCGATACTCGCGGGAAGCGAACGCCCCCGGGCAGGTCCCGGGAGAGCGGCCGCTCGCGCCCACCAAGGTGCTCTCTAGATTCCCTGAAGGCGGGTGGGGACCTCGGGGTTCTTGGACAGGGTCGGGATGAGCAAGGCAAGGGGTTTGCAGGAAGGCAGGTAAAGATCATAACCACACCCCAAGTCGCTCACGTGCTGATTCGATTCGATGAAAAGCACCTCCCCCCTTTTCCCCCTCAAGACGGTGGGATCTTGGGGCCCGGCTGAATCCTGCTTGTTAGGGAATTTGGTTTGAGGACAGTTGACACTCCCCTTTCTCACTTCTTACTCATTTCCTCCTTACTCCACCCCATCTTCCTCTTGAGTTTCTCAGGCGTTTACGGGCGACAGGTTTTATTAACTGTGAAGGAATCTGGACAGTGGTCTTTAAATGTCGTTAACATTGTTGTATGTTTATCGATAGATTCTTCCAGTAGACACTGGTTCTTTTGTTTTGTTTTTTCAGTAGACTTTCTTGAGGGCAAGGACTTGTCCTGTTTATCTTATTATCCTTATTCAGCACATAGGAAGGACCAAACCAATTGTAGTTCCTTTATTAGTGTTATTATCTGTGCCTCTCTTAGTGCCTGGATGTGTTAAGTGTTAGTATATATGAATAATAACATTAGTAACAACAGTTACTTCATTCTTTCCAGGTACTTTGCATATTGGTATGGGTGTGGAATTATGGGGACTAGAACCCAGATGTTTGACTCCTAAACTCCTTCTTGTATATCTAGTACATCCTTTCCTTATTTTTTCTATCCCCCTTTTCTTTCCTGTGGTTTAATTCTGAACAGTACTCAGGACTTAGGTGAGAGGTAGTGTCTTCCATCAGGCCATGCCTGACTTCTTCCTTTTTCTTCCTCTTCAGTATTTCCGTATGCTGCCACCATAGTAGTTCTTTACTTTCACATTACAGTTACCAAAAATACTGTCTGGGGGTGCCTTTCCCCAGCTAGGGAGTGAGGATGTTGGGGGTGAGGACTCTAACTTTGTGGCTCAGGTATAGAGGGTTAGGAGGTTGGTAGCTGGGCTTCTGGTTGTTTCTCTATCCTGTGTAATTTTTGGCCTTATACATTTTCTGGTTGTTACTCAGAGGATGCCCTGATTTATTAGTGTTTATCTTTTGTGTGGTAGGAGCCCTGGTTATTGTTGTAGTGTGTATTGACCATTGATGATTTTAATTTCTTTCTACCTTTGTGGTAAATGATAATCAGTTCCTCCCTCCTTCAAAAGAGAATGCCTTGTATCTTTTTATCTGCTTTGTTACTAACAGGGTGACATTTACAGATTGATCTATATCAAATTTTTCCCTAGAACCTTTTGGCCAGTATAGAACATGCCTCATTTTAAGTGCTCTAACTTCTTTTTAAATTTCAGAATGAGATGTGGGTGCCAATGTCTGTTTAATTATGTTCATAAGATAAACATTTTTTTTCCTTTTTTCAGAGTGGTTTTGGGTCTGGCCTAGGTATTGTTTGAGTCATTTTTGGCAAGTTCCTGTTTGCTTGTTTGTTTGTTTCTTCCATACATGTTTTTATTTTATGCTAGTCTTCCCTTGAATTCACTTTCTCTAATGTTTGGAGGCATCTTATGCTATTAGTGAACTAGCTGTTGCTGAGAACACAGCTCACAAGCATTCAAGGACTCTACTTAATGACTGAACCCAAAGTAGCCTTGTTATCAAGACAAAAGACTTCATAAGAGGCAGTTCTTTCTCTCTATGTTTTCCTTAGTTTCAAGTGTTTCAGTTCATGTGGAGATGACTTTGGTCTAATTCTGACACTTAGCCATTATTCTGAATTCAAGAAGTCCAATATTATGAGAGAGATACTTGGTTGTAGTGATTGACATTGTTTCCCTTAATTTTCTTTTTTTTTAAACTTACTGTTTCTTTTAGAGGATTTTTACATTTAAAACAAAACTGAGAAGAAGGTACAGAAATTTCCCATATATCCCCAGCCCCTACACAATGTATAGCCTCCCCAGTTATCAACATCCTCCACCAGAATGGTACATTTGTTACAAATGATGAGCCTGCATTTATGTATCATAGTTATCCAAAGTCCATAGTTTTCCTTAGGGTTCACACTTGGTGTTGTGCGTTGTATGGGTTTGGACAAATGTATGGTGTATATTCATCATTATAATATCATATAGTGTGGTATATAGTATAGTATTTTCATTCCCCTAAAACTGTTTGTGCTCCCTCTATTCATTCCTTCCCCTCCTCCCCACTGGCAACGTCTGATCTTTTTATTGTGCCCATAGTTTTGCCTTTTCTGGAATGCCACAATTGGAATTATATACTATGTAGCCTTTCAGATTGGCTTCTTTCTTTGGTAATATGCATTTACGATTCTTCGATGTCTTTTCATAGTTTAATAGCTAGTTTCTTTGTAGCACTGAATAATATCCATAAACTACAGTTTATCACTCCATTCACTTACCAAAGGGCATCTTGCTTGCATTTAAGTTTTGGCAATTAGGAATAAAGCTGCTATAAACATCTGTGTGCAGGTTTTTGTATGGACATAAATTTTCATAAATACCAAGAAGCACAATTGCTGGAACATATGGCAAGAATATGCTTAGGTTTTTAAGAAACTGCAAAATTGTCTTCCAAAGTGGTTGTATCATTTTGCATTCCCACTAGCAATATATGAGCGTTCCTCTTGCTCCACACTGTCACCAGCATTTGGTGTTGTCATTGTTCCAGATTTTGGGCATTCTGAGGTATGTAGTGGTATCTCACTGTTGTTTTAGTTTGCATTTTTTTGCTTAACATATGATATCTTTGCCATCTGTGTGTCTTCTGTGTTGAGGTGTCTGTTAAGTCTTTGGCCCATTTTTATTTTCCTTTTAATTTTTTTCCTTTTCTTTTTTGATGTTTATTTATTTTGAGAGAGAAAGAGAGCAAGAGCGAGAGTGAGCAGGGGAGGGGCAGAGAAAGGGGGAGACAGAGAATCCCAAGCAGGCTTCACACTGTTAGTGTGGAGCCTGATGAGGGCTCGAACCCACAAACCATGAGATCATGACCTGTGCTGAAATCAAGAGTCAGACACGTAACTGACTGAGGCACCCAGGTGCCCCTTGGCCCGTTTTTAAATCAGATTGTTTTGTTTTCTTATTGTTGAGTTTGAAGAGTTCTTTGTTTTGGATAACAGTCCTTTATCAGATGTGTCATCTGCGAATTTTTCTTAGTCTGTGGCTTGTCTTCTCATTCTCTTGAATTATTTTTTGAAGAGCAGAAATTTTTAATTTTATTGAAGCCTGGCTTGGCACCTTCTTTTGTGGATGATGCCTTTGATGTTGTGTCTAAAAAGTCATCACCTGGGCCCCTGGGTGGCTCAGTCAGTTAAGCATCTGACTTCAGCTCTGGTCATGATCTCACGGTTCGTGAGTTCAAGCCCCGTGTCGGGCTGTGTGCTGACAGCTCAGAGCCTGGAGCCTGCTTCAGTTTCTGTGCCTCCCTCTCTCTCTGCCCCTCCCCTGTTCAAGTCTGTCTGTGTGTCTGTCTCTCTCTCAAAAGTAAATAAACATTAAAAAAATTTAAAAAGTCATCACCATACCCATTGTCATCTAGGTTTTCTCCTATGTTATCTTCTAAGAGTTTTACAGTTTTGCATTTTAGATTTAGGTCTGTGATCTATTTTGAGTTAATTTTTGTGAAGGGTATAATGTCTGTGTCTGGATTATTATTTTTATGTGAATATCCAGTTGTTCTAGCACTGTTTATTGAAGAGACTATCTTTGCTCCACTGTTTTGCCTTAGCTCCTTCCTCAAAGACCAGTTGACTTTCCTTACAGATGTTTTCTCCTGGGCTCTCTTTTCTGTTTTATTGATCTATTTGTTCTTTCACCAGTATACACCATCTTGATTACTGTAACTTTACAGTAACTCTTCAAGTTGGGTAGCATCCACCCTCTAGCTTTGTTTTTTTCCTTCAGTGTTGTGTTGGCTATTCTGGGTCTTTTGTCTGTTCATATAAACTTAGAATCACTTTGTTGATATCATAAAATAACTTTCTGAGGTTTGGATTGGGGTTGTATTAAATCTAATTTTTTTTCTTTTGTCTTTAGTTTAATTCAGCAGATGTTTATTTGGTACACATATTTTATAACACTACCTTATGTCCTGGGCATAAAGAAAAGAAAAAGACCTATGTGCTCCCCTTAAGGCATTTACCATTTACTCTCTGGTGGGTGTGCGCTTGCTAGCGTCTGCACATGTGCACTCTCTGTTCCTCCATCGTTTTCTCCCCCTACCTTCCTCTCTCTCTCACTCTCTCTCTCCCTTCCCCCTCCACGCACAATTACATGTAAGCATCATTTTTCCATAGTGATAACACTACAGGAGAAATATGTTACAAAGCCCTTGGAGAGGAAGCAACAATTCATTCCTCCTGGACAAATTAGGAAATGTCTTAAAGAAAAGGTCACATTAGAGCTAGGGCTTGAAGGAGACATTTTCAGGAGCTGGGATGGAAGGACAGATTGAAGGACATTCCAAGAAGGGGAGGAGCGTGGGCACAAACAAAGCGTTGTGCAGGTGCATGGTGTGTTCTGGGAAATGTTAGTAATGTAAGGTTTCTGGGGATGACATTTTCACAGTTTTTAACGTAACGCTTTTCAACTGTGAGTCTTTTTTTGTATTTCAATTCATTTAATGATCACTTGGCAAGATTAGGGACACAAAATAATAAATAGCACTGGCTTTACCCTCAAGGAATTTACAGTTTCATTGGAAAGTTCTTGCAGTAAAAATTGTATGGGAAACAACTTAGATATTTTAAAATTTTACTCAAGTCCCTTCTGGTTAAAAATATATATAATTCTCAATGAGAAAATTGTCCTAACGATTTCTACTGGGGTTATTTTGTACAAGGTAGCAAGATGTTTTGATCTCCGTGTATCTTTTAAAACTGTTGCTTGAAAGGCATTTGGAATCATGGGATGATTAAATTGTATGTCATGGCTCTGTATGTATGGGTAACTCCAGTCCTGATTTCCTATCTGAGAATGT